GACGCTAAGGATCTGCTACATGATTTATTACTTTAAATGGCATTAATGCAGAATGAATATAGTTTTAAAATTACATATTGTTGAATTCTCTGCTTTGCTCTTTCGAAAAACATTTGCAAGTAATTTTTTGTTAGAAAATTTAGCAAACAAAAGTCTCCTGTTGGCTTCTTTAGTGTTTCTCTCCCAATTATTTACTATAAAAGCTTAGAAGTTTCCCAAAAGCTACTGCGATTTTCGTATTTCGAGATGGATTTAGGCGGTAAAACTTAGAAAAATTGATAGATTGATTCGGCATGCTTCCGGATACTATAATCAGAACCCTAACCTGCGCGCAAATTATGAAGTATAATCTACTAGTCCTAATCATAATTAGTACTTTTTGGAAATGTTTAAAAGGAATTCTTATATCGTTATATTAGTCAGTGTCAGAATTTAAAAATGTGTTCAAAAATAAATTAAGATGACGATGAAGCAACTTATGAGCATGCGGACTTTAGCGCTGTATTGTATACATCTCTCAATAGTTTTTCTTTCAAAAAAAAAACCGCAAGATGGATAAGTTGATTACTAAAGATTCACAATTCTTTTCCCAACAAAACTGCAGGATGAATATGTTAATTACTAAGGGATATTCCGCAAACGATTAGTCACCATAATTTCACTTTTTGGATACAGCTGTCTAGAAAGCATTTGTTTCTCTATCACTCATCAATATTTCAAATGTTATAAGCTAATCTTGTTGCAAAATTGTTGCGTGTTTCATTAACAATAATGCTCCGACCCCCTGTCACATGAACTTTTTGAACTTATAACTTTGCAGTTAGCCTCATCAGCCCTTAATGGTAGTCTGCTAGTAGTTCTCAAGAACTGACCTACAGTTTAATTCAGCAAATGATTCCATACTGGACTGTTAAGGGGGATATCCAAGGTGAACTAAAACCAAGTTTGGACCACCCATTTAACCGCACGGATAGATGCATCTACTGCCCATCACCTGTTTCTTTTCCGGTTGACTTAAAAAACTACACCACTGACTACCATAGGCATTTCGGGTTGTAGTAAGTTTCCTGAAGCTTGTCTTAACGAACTGTGCGAGATATTCTATTAAGTGCGTCTATAATTATGATGAGCACAGTAAGCGTATATATGGCCAGTGGTGATCAGAAATTATTTTAGAGCCACGTCCCCTTCCGATCGCAATTACGTAAGAAAAAATTTTCAAAATTACTATATTATTTTCAGAAAGAATTTGGCAATAACGTACCGTAATGAATGAAATTCAATCATAAAATCTTTTCTTGGTTCTGTATTAACCTTTTCAGAAATTTCAAGCCCTATACCGGGGAGCTGTTAGTGGTAGACATATTATATAAATTTTTAAAAGCCTTCAAAAGCTACAGAAAATGGTGATATCTTTCTTGCGCTCTTTAGACTTCAATTTTTCTTCATAAAGTGAAGCGTGTCGTATGTATAATAGATTACTGGTACAATCACATTCGCAATTGAATTTTAAAGAAAAAATCATTCGCATGACGCGCCAACTCAAATGCGTTCATGATTAGGGTCAACAATATTTGAAACCATTAAATCGAGGGGGCTCCAGCAGCACGGCAGCATCCTTTAAAAAATCACGGTACAA